AAAGAACTCTATCCTCTGCCCTGCCCCTGTGCCAGTGCTGTGTCCAAGGTGTGCTGGTCCTGCCAAGGATGCTGCCAGCACAACTCTACCATGTGGAGGTTTCAGGTGTGGGTAGGGTTGGCTGAGTCAGGAGAGCAGACGGAGCCCAGCAAACCTTCCAGTATATCTGTGCTGGTTTGCAGGTTAGGGTGCCCCAGTGGATCAGTGTGTGTCAATGGTGGTGCAACGATGCTGTTAGGAGGGTTACCAGCCATGCAGCTGGGTTTCTCTGACTCCAGCGGGTAAGCAGAGCCCAGTCTCAGGCATCCCTGCTCAGCTGTGGCTGCCCAGCTCCTCACCACCCTGCTGGGACCCCCTTTTGCTGCAGGCACAGGCACCGAGAGACTGCCAGCCTGACAACACAGCAGTGAGAAGTGCCCCAGGCAGGACAACCAGGATGGGTTAGTCCATGATGGGAGGCTTCCTTCAGGCATGCCAAAAACAAACCCACAGTATTTCCATCTTCCTGCATTTAAGTGTTTGAGTTAATAATATTTATGGGGCAGTGCAGAAAAACGAACTTAAAATACAACATTTGTCATCTCAGGATACCAAATCACACCATTACTGAAAAAGATACAGAGAAATGTGTCTAATAAACAGTATATTTTGCACAATTTACTTTGTGTTTTTCACATCCTGCAACAAGCACAGGATAGCAAAGCTTCTTAATGCTTCTTAATGATTATAATATATGTGCTGAAAGAGCAGTTCCCTGAGGGCTACTGATTAATCAGGGAAATACTCATTTGTTCTGGCAGAAGTGATGTGCATTTAGGCAGCAAATGCTGAACCCTGAGTGCATGCAGCAGTCATCAGGGGCCTAAAGTTTGCATTCATTTAACCGATATTCCCCCCAAGAAAAGAGCATGTTTCAGCACAGCACCAGGACATAACAGCACTTCACTTGTTTTCTGTCCTAATTCCTTTAAAGTTTTGTCTGACAAAGACAGGAAGAGGCCCCACTTTCATTTTAGAGACTATAAACACATAAGAGTCAGTTTCCAAACTATCTCTGCTGCTTGCTTAGAGACAGTTCAGGGGAGGACATAAGGTCTCAGCTGCAGTGTATGATGCTGTGTGAGGGACTTGAGAACGAGTTAGAAGATTTAAATGATTATTCATCAGCTGATCTAAATCCCTGCCTGGGTTTTTAGCACCTGACAAACACTGCATAGCTACTGACTGCAGCCCTTCCCTCACTCTATCACAGTTACATTAATTCTGTGGTTTGGCACAGTTGTTGCCAACTGGAAGTTTTCAACCTGGTGTTTGGTAGTAACAATGTGCAACCTCTGTGCTGTGCTTGTATTTCTCTAGTGTTCATTTTCAAATCAGCCACAGAAAGGACAAACTAAAAGCAGATGTGTCATACTTTGTACATTTGGAAGCTCAGCCATGGAAATATCTTTGTCAGATAAATGAATTCCAGGTCACTGGGATAAATAGATGCAATAAAATACTTATATGTAGAAGAAACCCATATAAAAATGTGATCTGACAGCTCTTCAAGGAAATTGCTGTGTAAGAGATCCAACTTTGAGGCTTACCTCAGGCTTTTGCATAACATGATAGTTAGTACTTTAAACTGGAGAAAATGTGATGAGATCTTTTGATTTTTTTCCACTCGCTTTTTCAATTCCATGGGATCAGCAGAAAGTGAAGGGAACCAAAGCTGAACTAATGCTGCGCTTTTGACTCCACCACTGCAGGGATGGCTTGGTGGAGAAGAGAGCATGTGTTACCCTCCTATGGATACCCCAGAATTGCCAGAAAATGTGGATTTTTAACTTGTTTTCAACATAGCATGAGAAAGAGGAAAACCAGAAATAAATGGGAAGGCTGAAACATAATCAGAAAACAGTAGTTATTTAGTTTGGCTGCTGATACAGTAATACATGATAGTTATGCATCCAGGAATAAACCCTCACCTAAAAATGTTTTTCAACTCTAGTTGGGATTATTTACAGGAAATAAAACCAGTTAAAGAATTAGAATGAAACCCATACTAAGTCAACAGAAATGGTGCCACTGACCTCATTAGGCCAGGTTTTGTACCTAGATATCTACAAAGAACCACAATTCTCCTGCAGGAGGACTGGCAGATTAATATTCACAACACCAGTTTATCATTCCCTACAGAATCCTTCATTTTTATGCAGCTGGCCTAAAAACTTTGCTCCACAAGTTTGCATTTCAGTGCAAGACAATGATGCATGCTCCTTTTTAGGCTGTTTGCCCAACATCACCATTCCCATTTGGCTTAAGTACCTTCTGAAAATACTGTTTTGCTCCATGTCCCTTACAAGAATTTATTTCCTCTGAGGTATCTGCTTTCTCAGCAGCAATTTTAAGGCATTTCAGGTTATGGAAGAACTATAAAATTAACGCTGTGCTCACATATACCACAAAGAACATACTCCTTTAACCCTGTCCTTCAAAAACCCATAAGCATTCACTGTATTTCAGCAATTGGCCATATGCTTTTGCAAGGAACGTTTTGCACCTGCCACCATGATACAGGCAAAATGCCAGGAGAAAACATTAACTAATCTACACAAAGCCTTAGGTGGTCTATTAGCCCCACATAAAACCAAGAACATGTAATTAGTGGATCCGCCAACAGAATTAAATTTGATTGACTACAAGAAGCAGTAAGTGGAGCAATTACCAAAGTCCAGGTAAACTCCTCTGATTGGGAAGTCATGGCCTGGCTGAACGAGGCTGACAGCACAGTGTCCACCTCTACTGTCCCGAGAAATGTGTCCACACCAAACCTTTAACTGAACACGAAGTTAAGCTTCTGTCAACAGCGCAGTTCAGCTGTCTGCTGAACTGCTGTGGGTTGTGTAAGATACAAACCAATAACTGTATAACCAATCCAGAACAGCAGGAATCTTCTAGCATCATTAATTTTGTCAAATACTTTTTTCTTCCATGCTTCTGACATGGACAGCAACCACCTGAGGTGGTTGCTCCTCTGTGGCTGAGACATTCTGCGAGGATACAGCATCACTCACTGGAGCACCACATGCCCAACCAGGCTGCGCAGCAGATGTTGTCCTGCAAGCCTGATGGAATAGTTGCTCCAAAGGCTTAAGTAAGTGAAGATAATTTTGACTGGTCTGAGTCACAAGTGCACAGTTAAATTTGGGATGGCAAAATCCATCCAAAAGAAATGCCTCTCAACATTCCAACTCCCTGGCCATGCAGGTTAATTGCAAGTGGTTTGCCAGTGCCTGCAGTAAGGCAGGAACCTGGGGTGTTTCTGTAGCAGCTTTTGTCCACGATTTGATTTAATGCCCTCCATAAGCAATTGCAACTCAGTGCTTGTAATAAGAAAATGTCATAAAGGTACCTGCTGCCTAGTCCAACATCTTTGGGCTTTGACAGTTCAAATTTACAGCTTTAATTCAGTAGTCTAGAAGCCTGGTATTCTGTACATAGTGAAGGGCTGGAAGAACAATATTTTATAGAATGTTCACCTGTGTTCAGTGACCCATGGAAGAGGTAACCCTTCAGACCTTATGAAATGACTTGCAGACAAATTCATAGTGCAGATTGCCCAGTGGCAAATTACAAAGTCCTGGTTAAACCCCCGTGTGCCTGGATGTACTGACTTGACTGTTTTGCCTCTGTACAATGATGAGTTGAACTTTCAGCAGCTTAACTGAAGGAGCCATAAGCAGCATAACTGAGTCACAGAGGTAAAGGAATACTTATGGAAGGAGCTGACACACTAACACCACTCGGGAGACTCTGCACAAAAGAGCTATAGGATTTCCTTTAGGAAAAGATGAGCTGTGCATGTGGCTGTCATGCACAGGACAATGTCACCCTGCTGAGCACAGCGGGTCAGCCTGAACCACATAACAAAGCATTAAACAGAGGTGAAGGGAGGCAGCCCCACAGCCATCGTTCAGGCTTCAGCTCCATCACAGGGGGAGGCCAACTTTGACACTCCTGTGCCTTTTGCAATCCAATTTATGTCCCTTGTCTCTGTTACCACTGTGTTCCCAGGGGTCACGTTTGGGGCTGTTAAAAAATGCAGGCACGCCAGCACTGCAAACGGCCCCAGTGTGTGCCGTGTATGCAGCTGTTTAATGAGGCCTGCTGTCATTACAGCAAAATGACTCAAGAACCTTCTTAAAAAAGCCTCTTATTTATAGTATCATAGATTACCTTAATGTCTTTTTACTGGGAGGTGCTATGAAATACTGTGCAAACATTACAAGATGGCCCCAAAATAATGTGAATTTAAGCTGGATCTATCAAGGAAAACATAAATATTGAATGGAAGAGAAATAAATAGTTGAAATTTGCTGAAATCTTAAGCAAATGAGTATTTTTATGAAAACTATGCACTTCTGAGCTGGATTTCTACACCATATCTTTCATGTAGGAGTCAGTCAAGTGTATACTCTAGTACTAAATCCTAAGGGAGAGACCTATGTGTGAAGCGTAAAGATTAGTAAGAATTTTCTCCTACCAGCAAAACTACCTAAAATTCAACATTACAGAACAATGCTATTATTCACCTATAATATTGAGAAAGCAAGAGTTACTTTTTCCAGGCAGTGTCTCGGTTTTCACAGAGAATGTCAAAAACCTGTATGGATGTCCAGTCCTCTTCAAAGCTCTACGTAACCCTGACTATAAATCTTTCACCTATGCCATCCCACTCTGAAGTTTTCTTTCGTACTGAGTTTCATGTTTTCCTTCTACTCTCAGTTTTATACCTGCTGCTATCCAACAACTTACCCAGAATTATCTCGGACTTCTACTGGCATGTCAAACTACTTCCAGCCTCTCCATCGCATTTCAGTGCCGTCCTAATTTTTTTTGTAAAATAATACAGACTAAACTTTTGTATTGTGTTCATTTTTTATGGTTTTAGTTTATGCTTAATCTGTAATAGAGACATGGGAAATTTGATTTGTACCAACCTCTTTATGTGTTAGTGGAGGCTTTCTGTTGCCAGATAAACACAGCCTAGATGAGCCCTCCATGCACTATAGCTATGTATCCCTGTTTGAACAAGAAAAATATTTGAAGTACCTATCTAGTGAGTTATGGAGCTATCTGTGACATGCTGATTTAAACCTGGGCAGGTCCTCATCTTTCTACAGTGGATAATTACAGGTGAAATCTTAAATGGAAATGTATTAATTAGAGTAAGATCTGCTGCCAGCGCCCTTCCCATCAAAACTCAAAAGGAATGAATTGGAGCAGCAATGAAATGAAGCAGTAATGACAGGGCTTCCATTTAGCTTCTAAATCTTTTTTCTTAAATATCCATATTTTAATGTAGAAGACATTTTGATGATCCTAGATACAGTCTCTAATCAAACATTCTGTAATTAAACTTCTTGCTTTATCTATGTAAAATGCCAAGGAATTAGAGAAAGACTTACGCCTCTGGGTTAATCCCTACTTTAACTCAAAAGACATGCAGGGAACACAGTGTCTCACACCAGGTTTTACAAAGCAGCCATGGGAGCAGAAGGATGTCCCTGCACCAGAAAGCCCACATGGAGCAGAGCAAAGGAAAGCCCATGCCATGTGTGCTGTGTCAAGGCCCATGGGCTGGATGTGCTCCCAGCCCAGCCTGGCTTGGCTGCAAATTCCTGCCTCTCTTGACTCTACTCACTTTTTCCCCTATCCTTGACGAGATTCCCATATGGGATGTGGCACTTGTAAGCCATAGATTACTTTAATCTGAGAAGGACATTTTGGAAAAGACACAAATATACTGGGGTTTGAATGTCTTCATTCTCATGTGCCAATGTATAACACTGCACCCCAGAAAATTATGTTTTAAATAATAATTAATTTGTGAAGGGCCTGGCTTGTGTCTTACAGACAGATCTATGCCATACTCCCCGCTATTTGCTACATCTGTGAAATGTCCATTATTTTTCCATAGTTTAAATAATTGCATATCCGTTGCTTTCCCTGCAACACAGTACCATCTTCATTTCTCCTTGGCAAATCTCAGAAAAAGAAGCAATTTGTAAGAATGACAAGAAAATGGCTTCACATTTGTGTACACCACAGCAGCCTGACACAGAAGGAGGCTCTGGTGAGATTCACAAATCCTAATTCCCACTCAGTTTCAAGCAGACCAGATTAAAAAAAATAAAATAAAAATGAAAAAAACAAATGAAAAAGAAAATCACATGGACCAATTTGATCATAAAGATTCTAATTCAGCACAGGTTAATTGAGAAGTCAGATTTCCTGCTATCACTTCTGGAGAGGAGGGAGATAAGCAAACACAATGACTCTTTATCAACAATATGGGGACTTCATTTAAAGAGAGAGCATTAGGTTACAGGATAGAAGATTAGTAGCAATCAGCCTGCTCTCAGAAAAGAAAATGCACTGGGTAATAAAGATAGAAGGCATGAAGCTGGGTGCATAGAAATGAGGTTTGATGCCAAATATTGCAGGTCAGATCTGAGCTGTCACATTGGCACTGATCATTGCCATTGTACAATTACTATTATTCACCTGTGATCTTCTATCAAGTTGATGGCTCCTCCCACCCACCCCATTTGTTAATGGCATTTTAATGAAACAAAGGTCCATCTTTTGTCTCTTTGAGATCACTAACCATTGTATAATAGTATATGAAAGACATTTATTTTTTCCCAATCACCCATAAAAAGATCTGTTATTCTCTTCCTTAGCCACAACCCCATAAATCCGAGTACAGCTCTGCATTTAAAGGCGGCAGGCTGATTTTTCCTTTTTCTTTGTGTGTCATGTGTTTTCCTTGCCAAAAAGTGCCTGTTTTGTTGCAAGTGAAAGGAGAATTTTAAAGGATGCTAGAGAATCATAAAGACTCCCCTTTCCCCAATCCCAAGCATGCATTCACCTTATTGTTCTGCTGACTAAAGAATTAGAAACCATTAATATTGTCACTGCTGGCAGGTCGGAAAAATACTTATTCTGTAGTCGAGTAGATTAATCCGAGGGGGGAAATAACCCTGCAAAGCCCTGGAAAAGCTGCCTGCCTAACCAATCCATTTTCTAAACCCAGATGTTTTCAATCTGTTTAAGTGTTAATCTCATGATACTTCTTTTTATGCCTAGCAAAATGATTTCAACATGTATTGAACTATTAAAGAATTCATATAATTAGTGTGGTACTTATTTTTTTAATGAAGAAGCCTTTAAATGAAATCTTATCTATGAGTTTGTCAGTTATATGCTCACATTGATTATCAAGACATGTTAGGACCTCTTGCCACTGGCTTTTTTGATGAGCTCTGGAGACTGCCCAACTACACTCTTCAAAGAAACTTACACTGAAATCAGAGGCAGTGTAATACTAGGTAAGCTATAAATTAATTCTTCTGTGATGAGAGCCTGAATAAACTGAGATGTAGGCTTCAAAGAAGATGATGGAATGGTTTGGTCTAGGAAAGCCACAGGGCACTTGTCCCATCTGCACAAGGGCAGGGAATTTCTGATGCTTGGCAGCCTCCCTTGAGAACTGATTTGAGCAGAACAGTTAAACTACAAAGCAGTTATCACAATATTACACCCAATGACTAATTGAGGATCCTGGACAGAGCAGGAGGAGTGGGCAGAGGTGGAGGTCAGAAGTACTGCTTTGCAGAGCCCGTGATGGATATGTAGAATAGATTTGCAAATGAAGGCACTGGAATCCAGCCTCTGACATTTACTGCTGCAAGAACTGAGTAACTATGAAACACAGCTATAGTTAGCCATTTTTCCTGAAAACTGGAGACAGTTTTCGTTCTTATACACACCCCTCTTATGCCTTTTCTTGGCATGACTTTGGCCTCCTCCGATAAAGAACTGGTTTGAAATATGACAGCTAGTTTTAAGCCGAGACCTCTTCCGTGACAGGTGGTGATGGGCTCTGCTATCTGGGCTCACTCTGTGAAGAATAATGGCTTGTGAAAGGAAGGTTACAAATAAGGTCATGAAGCAGCTCAGGAAGCCTTGCATTTCATGTCAAGTATCTTAAAGGTTCTAGGAGGGCTGCAAAAGCTTTCCTCTAGGTCTGCTGATTGACAGATCAGCAGCATGATTATAGCCTGATTTTGATAAATCATATTCATCTACCGTTTGTGAAAAGCTTTAAAAGCACTGCTCGTGAGTCATGTGTTCCTGTGAAATACTTTATTGAATCCATAGGAAAAAAGCAGCTTATGCCTTCGTGTATGTCCTGCTGGCATACATACTGCATGGTAGCTGGCCTGTGCCATCCAAAAGCAGGACCTTCACCTTGGAGAGCTGCCCAGACTGAAAGTGCCACGCTCAAGGGAGTCACTTCTAGTTTTCTGACTCACCGTGGACATCCCAGTTCCCTAAGGGCCATTTAGCCCCTGAATCCTGGAGCAAAGCCCTTTTGCCTAACAAGTAGGCAGTAGAATTTGTCTGTGGGAACTGGCTGGTGGAGAATACAGGGAATTGCAGACAGCTGAGCTTACCCACACAGGCTGAGGGGTTTATTGTAGGGCTTAAAGATGCTTCTTTTGTAAGTTGGGTATGAGAGGAGGGAGAAGAATCAGTTTCAAATTAAAATGAGGATTTTTCAACTCATCCTTAATATTTATAAGGCTTCTTTTGCCTTACAGACAAATCCTCAAAGAGAAGAGGGAAAGCTGCTCCTCCTTAGTTCTTGTGCCTTTAGTTCAGCTTCTCATTGTTTATACTACTCTAAGCAAAATAACTGTTCTGGAAATGCAGTCATTTACAAAATCCAGCCCACTAAGCCTTAAACAGCAGAGACATGTCCTGCTATGTTTGTTCCTTTGTTGTTGCTATGGCATTACCACACATTTTTCCATGTGGGAAAGGAAATCCCATGGAGACCGGATAATAAAGGCCCGAATTTCCAGGGCACACTGTCCGTCTCGCCTCTTGACCTGTTTGACACCCTCTTTCACCAAACCTGCATTCACTGAACCCAAATAAACGGCCAGCCATCAAAGGAAGTATTTTAAAAGGATTGCTCATGGTTAGCCTTGATGAAATACACACTGGAAAACCTGCATTTCAATCACGTTTGGAGTTCTGCATTTCAAAAATGGTTTTGTTTAACTACATCAGACTTGTCATTCAGGGAAGTTTCCTTCCGTAGGATGACTGCATTTAAAAGTCAAGTTAACCAAACCCAGACAAATTTCCCAGGAGGCTGTAGAAAGCCAGACAAGCATCTCACACAGTACCTGACCTCTGTGCTGTACCAGGTGTATCTGCCTGCTATCAGCAAGAGGCCAAGATGCTGCATGTTTATACATCACCAAATCACAGTGGAGTGTCATGTCAGGAGGTTTCATCAGAATATCATCATTGTATGTTTGTTGTTGGGACAACCTTGGCTTTGACTCTCCACTTGACTTGACACTGGTTTATAAAGATTAATCCTGTGTCCTAGCCAGTCTGCTCTGCCTAAAGCCCCTGATCATTCTGAGTTGCACAGAATCATTGTGCCTTGCTTTATCTTAGAAATAGCTATTTCATGGTGTTCCCTGAGATTATACTTTACATGTATGTTAAAATTGATGTGTAAATACAAGTTTGTAAAATGCTCTGGGACTTTAGTTCTACGTGAATTTTCATTCAGGCCAATATACAAGATAGTAATTGTCATACTCTAATATTCAACTAATTTTAATGTATATCTAATTATAATTTGTCACCTGTTGATGTAGTTATTAGGGAAGAATGTGCAGTTCACAACTGACCAAAGAGCAAATGTGTCAGCATCAGGATTGTTCTGATGCAAAATGTCATGGTGTATTTTGAACCAAACCTCTTGGACTTCATTTATTGTGTCTTGCACTGCTGTCATTTCTGTGTAACATAATTCAAAGGCACTGGCCTAGCCATCCAGGCATATTAAAAGTGCCTTTTTTCCTCTCATCTTTCAAAACCACATATCTATATTGCATATAGGATACTGCAGCCAGAAAACACAACCAGCCAGCAAAGGATAATCTGCCACAGGCAACATGCACCTTGTGGCCTTCCAAATTCTTCAGACAACACAGGAAAACAAACAGCAGCCTTACAGACTTAATGGACTTCTAATGGATTTGATGGATTCTGCATCAGCAGTTTCTAATGGAACATCTAAAGAGGACAGTTTTCCTTCCCAGAGATTCCTATAGGACGTGAAGTTGGAGTGCAAAGGCTCCAACTTGTAACACTTCAATGCTGTGGAAGAGAACTCATGGCAAGACTGAAATCCTTCATCTCTTCTGAAAAGTGATTGAGTTTCCAGGAGATAGTAAGCGAGCTGTCTCATATCACAGCACTCAATAGTAGCAAAAGGCACCAGTAAATCCCATGAAGTTTGTGATCTCCTTGATCCATTTAACTCAACTCCCCAGGGCTGGTGACAAGGAGGTGCAGAAACTGGGGCTTGAAGTCTGCTCCCATGCCCAGAGAGAGGCTATGGTCATAGATGGGGAGTTGTTGTACAGTTATCAAAAAGAAGACAAAGTCCAAAATGCTTTTGTTGAATACAGCTAGGCAGCAGTGGTAATAGATTCCTCCTAGTTATATATCCGTGACTTTGTCATTTTTGCCTAATCTTCTAACTTCAGCTATTGATAAATAAATAGTTTTACAAACCAGAGTGTAAATCACCATTCACTGCTGAGCTACTATTGTGCCTCCCATTTATAAGGCAGCTTGCAAGCTTGTTTTTTTAATCAGTTTGGCTTGACATTTTATTTTCCTACTATTATTTATGAGCTGTATCTTATGAATGGATTATGTAAAATAGTTTAATTCCAGTTGTTGCAATTTCTCAGATTCCATCACACAAAAGCTTACTTTGAGTAGAACACTCAGGTCCAGACTTTGTTCTCAGTTGTGCTGATACAAATTAGACCATCATCCACTGAGATCAAAAGGGCTTTGCTCAGATTTACAACCCTTAGGGGCATTTAGGAAAAATTCTGAGGAATGTGCTTTTTAGAGTAAGCAAAAGCACATTGCTGCTTCCAGCAGCACATTTCACAGGTGGGGTTAACCTTCTGTCCTCAGCTCAGTAACTGAACCTGGTGATTCTTACAGCAAAATAATTATCAACTGCATTCAGCTGTGACTTGACTGCCTTTGTTAGAATACGTCAGAAACATGGATGGGTGGATTTGAGAACATTTGCTTTCTAAGATTTTGAATGCAGTCACTTTCAAGCAACTGAAACCTTCACAGCTAATTAAAGCAATCAGTCCCCATTTGATGGCAGGTGTTAGCTCTTTTCTGTGAGAGCAGGTTACTATTGTCACAAAGCAACAGCTCTTGAGCCTTTGCATGTAAAAACTATCTCCAGATGCCAAGAATCTTGCCAATTATTACTCTCCATTTCACAGGTTTCTCTGATCTCTCAGCATCTGACTTCACACCTGAGTGAGGAACAGAAAACTTGTGAAAACAAGAGTTTGGTTGCTAAGGAGCATTTGGCATGTATTTTTGCTGTTTATTTCCCTATACTAAATGATAGTTCATTTCTCAGGATGAAGCATGTGATGTGGCCTGCAGCAGTTGTAGATAAGGTGTGGTACCATGCAAAGGAGAGAGAAAGAACTACGAATTTCTGCTTCACATTGGCTTGCTCAGGTTATTGCTCCACGGTTGCCTGGCCTCAGGTCACTCAGTCAAACTGCTCAGTTCCTGCATTCAGTGTTCTACTGGAGCCCAGCCTGGTGTCAGAACAGCAGCCGGCCATGGGAGGCTCACAAGGAGGCAGCCTGTTCTCTGCCACTTGCGAGTCAAACTGGTTACATTTTTCATCTCAGCACACGGAAATAGGTATGGTTAATTTGTATGTCATTGTTGTGACAACGCATAGCCACCAGGATGACAGATGTCTCAAAAGCCATCACAGGGCAGTTTTTCAAAGACTGCAAACCCAGTGCAAGGCAAAGGCATGCCATTCTGTGTGTTTAAACCAGGCAGTTACAACCAGAGGTATGCAGATTGCACGTCTGCAAAGCTATAGCTTCCTTGTTTGTAGAAGTGCCTCTCAGCTGAGTTACTTAGGGCTTTCCAGGGTCGCTTGGCTTTGCATTCAGGCAAGGAGAGCTGGCAGAACTTGCACAGCACAAACTGCTGCCTGAGGCCTGACACTGCACATGGCCAACGAGTTTTGCTGGTGCTCTGCTGGACCCAGCACAACTCCTCCCTGTTTGAACTACAGAGGTCCCAAAGACCAGCTTTTCCTGGGAGCAGGGAACAATCCTGCACAAGGCCTTCAAGAGTAATTTATTCTGATTTAGAAGGGCATGTTATTCTAATGGCATACCATGCTAGGCATGATACAGTCTGAATGTTTTTCACTGGTTACAAATGTGACCTTCATTAACTCGTCTTTGTGCGCCCAGATCTACAGGAACAGCTCATTGCATTTTCAATTTAATTTAATTTGAATGATAATTTAAAAGTTGTTTGATGCAAATGCGACCATCTGCATCCTTGCAGCTGACACAGTTTTTAAAGAGGAGTTTGTGAGCAGGGGTGGAGGGGAGAGCTTGGTGGTGAGTAAGAGCCATGAGCTTTGCAAGGTGGTTTACTGCAGGGTGTGGAGCACCCTGGGAGCAAGCTGTGAGTGCCTAGGGGCTGAGCAGGGAAGAGAAGAAAAGCTGAGCCAAGAAATTGCTGGTTGTCAAAGCTGTACCTGACCATTTAAATGTGGTGATCTGAAGTCATCAGACCATCCTAGCTTATGATGCTGCTTGTTGTCTGAGCCACTAACTGCCCCATGTATGTGCTAGCTAGACCTGCTGCAATACAAAATGCACCATAGCTTAAACTGCGAGGAGGGGCTGGAGTAGGTTCTGGGTTGTCTTGTGCATAGCACTTCAGTGCCTAGCAAATACACTGCATGTAGCTCTACTTGTGGTTTTAATTGCTGGCAGTAATAGCACTATCCTGAAACTAGAGCTTATGGTGATTTTGATGGGGATGGGGAGAGGGATGTAGAAAAACTCCCTTGTTTTGCTGTGACTGAATCTAAGCTGTAGGTCTCTGGAAGCAAGGGCCTGCCTGTTCCTCCCCTCTGCTGTACACCTTGCAATACTGGATGCTTCATGACAGTAAATAAACAGTGCTAATGGCCATTCGTTCACAGTTACTGCTTGGCTACCAAACTGAATAACTTGATAAAACTGAAACTCTGAATTGTTGCACTGATTCTTCTAGGATTTGGTTGGGGTTTTCTGCTGACTTCATTCTAAACAGGCTAAAATGGGCTCTGTGTCCAATTCAAGCTCTTGAAAAAGAGGCAGAGCAAGCATTTGCCCATAATACTTCCCTGCTGGCAGCCTTGGTCAGGTAGGATGGAAGGGGAGCTCCTTGCTGAGCCCTCACTCTGCAGCAACAGTGCTTCTACTCTGCACCCCAGGGAGTCATGCTTGGAGCCTACCATCCCATGTGGCTCCAACCAAACCTACCTGAATTCTAGTGGATGAGCTAGCAAGGGGAAGGGAGCTGGGGAAGGATTTGAAACAAATTACTTTATCCTGTACCCTGAAAATCTGCTCTATTTCAAATAATGCTTTTTTTTTGGCACCTGTGCACAACAGCCATTGCACTGGTGCTCATGGGAATGCAGTTGAAAGCTTTTAGCTAAATTTTGCAAGCATCATCTCCCTTGGAGTTACAAATCTGGATAAGGGAAATGAGCAAAATAACCCTTTCTAATAAGGAAGGAAGGTTGATTGGGTTAATGTTGTCTGTGAGTCAGGAGACCTAGTATTAATTCTTAGGACAACCATATATTCCTGAGAGGCTGAATTCCTAGTGATTCCTAGTGAAAGTCAAGCATTGGCACTTCTGCAAGAGCAGACCATACTCATCTTTGCTCTGTTCTAGGGATCACACTGTGTGCTGCTATCTTCTCAAAAGCAAAAAATAAGCTGCTGCCACTTCAGCACGATGGAGTTATAAGTACAGTCTATGCCAAAGCACTACTGAGGAAGCCAGATCCCCTATTAAAATGAGCGTGTACATTATAAGCTAGGATTTATTGTCTTAAACCTAAGAACTGGATGAAATGCTGTTGGAAAAACAACCCAGCAGTTTTCTACTGCAGAGACTTCACTGCTGATGCATTTATATAACATTTTCCTTGCCCTTTATTTAAAATCATGTTTTCTGCTATTTCTCTAGTGCTCCCTAAACTGGGATATAAGAGATCACAACATCTTTGACAACGATTGCCTAGAACTCCCCATACGGCTCAGCTGTCTTACTGCATTGCATTTCAGATGCCTCTGGGAGCTGTGCTAGCAGTCACTCAGGAATACCAAAGCTTGGAGATACTTGTGTGGCTGCATTTTAGGTAGCAAGATGCACATATGACTTTGTTAAAACTTGGTTCCATTTGAAATTCACCTTGCAAGCAGTCTGTCAGCATTCTTGGCTCTCTCTCTGACAGTAGAAGACTAAATGTAGCAACCTGACTTCTAATGGATGGCTCTTACTCTGCAAATTATGTTTTAACTTTATTTATGAGCATTAAAAAATGCTACTTAAGTCAGCTTTTGGAAACACATGAGAGAGGTCTCTGATTTTCTTACAAGAGATCAGACTGAGTGAATAAAGTGAACAAAGAAGCTGAGAAGGTGGTTGGGAACCAAAGCTTTAAATGGCAACTGTAAGGCTGATTTCTGATAGTGCTGCTTCCTGAACCCATTAGAGAAACACTTAACAGAAAAAAGGCACACACCCCCCTGGAGAGCCTTCTACCTCCTGTAGAGATTTGGAAGAAAGCTCACATCTACCCATTAGAAAAAAAGTACTTTTAGCTTTTAAGTTCGAATTACGGGTCCAAACAGCATATGCTGGAACTGAACACAGTCTTGCTGGGAAGGGATCTGCCAAATCTGAGGCTGCTCTAGCAATAAATAATAAACCTAATCAGGCTCCTTCCCTCTGGTGCACTCAGTTTTGTGACAGTGGTATGACGGGGCTTCAGAGCCACTCTTCTGAACAGGTATTCAGAACACCACTGAAGTATTAAAAAACCCCAACAAACAAATAAAGCCACTTTTCTTGAGAGGTGCCATTAGAGACAGTCATGTTATTTGTGGTTGTATTTTCCTACCACTGCACATCAGCTGCTTCTGAAAAATTACAGGAGAAAAAGAACTACAGTTAAACAGCAGCTGCTGTGACTCCTGTGCATTGCTATGCAAGCCAGGGAAAGCAGCTATTTTATACAAATACTGATTGCAATGTGAGAAAACTATGGACACTTATTTTTCTCACAATACTTAGTTACATGGTATCAAACATCTCTTTGATAGAAACCTTATAGTTCGGCTTTCAAGAGGCAAAATCACTTTAACTGGTTGTGTTACAAGGCCTGCAGATTTCATCTGTCACTGAAAATCCTTCTGTGCTTCCTCTACAAACACACAAACATCAAACGGTGGAGCTCTTCCAAGGCTGTCAGCTCAAGTATCCTTTTCTGGCCTGGAAGATGCTTAAAATGGGAAGTTTCAGAAACAGAGATGAGAGGACCCACGTTTTACCTTCTTCATGCTTTCTGCAAAAACTCCCACTACATGCATTGCTCTTTGTTGGTAGTTCCAAGGATTTTACTTTTTATTTCTGGATCTCTAAGCTTTGGCTTTTCCCTCTGCATAAACCTTGAAACCAGTCAGAGGAAATGAATGGTGCTTTTCCACCAGCAGCTCTGTCAAGCCCAGTTGGTGAGCCATGGCTGGATAAGCCAATGAGTCCCGTAACAGCTAGCAATGCTAGTGAAAGGGGGGCTGTTAGTGCCTTTGTTGTAGGAGAAGTTGTTCGCTACTGGGGTAGGAACCCCCCAGCAGCTTGGTAGCTGAGCCCTTTCCCCTCGTGTCCTCATAAATTAAACATAACGGCTGCCGCCCACTCCTGCAGACAGCAGTGTTCTAATAAATCATGTAAATAGTCTTGGAGCTTCACCGCCCTTTATTTCACTTGAGTCCCGTAACTCAGCTGTTAATTGGATCTA